TGCATAGCCCCTGCCCGTATTGTGGTCATACAAGCCGGCGCAATTCGTTCATTCCCAGCATCTCCACTTTTTTCTCTCCCTCCCTTACCCCCTTTCTCCACCTTTTCTTTCATTCTTTTTCAAAAAATAGGAAAAAAAAGATGGAATAATCTGAAAAAACGTGTCTCTTTTTTGGACGAATAAAAATTCACTGCAATCACATAAACAGTCAGCCAATCAGTTAGCTGACTCATAAGGGCGAGAAAAAAACGAATAATTACAACAATTACCGTAGAACTAAATACCCATTATTTATCAAAGAAAACATGTAAAAAGAAGGAAAAAATACCTACATACTTTTCAACATAATAATGCATTGTTGAAAATTAAACACACTTTTCCATTTCCTAAAACGCTTTAACAAAAACAAAAACCTGCACGTAAATGCAACACTATATCGCACTTTCCTCTAATCAAATCTTCAGCAAAAAAAAAAGAAAGGATGCAAATTTTTACACATATACTACTATAAAAACCTAACAGCTTTCATGCATAGGCATTGTGGAAAAAAAAAGGTAAGAAGGCGGAATAAGAGCAAAATAAAATCTATTTCCCATGAATTTTTATCATTTTTTTCTAGTCTCTTCTGTAATTGTTGAGCGGAACAACTGAACCGTTAAAACCGGGAAGTTGTAGCAAATTTTTGAATATCTTCCACAGATCGTTAAACATCAAGAAAATTTGAAAAAAAATTAATGCTGATAGCAAATAACATTTTTAGTTATCCGAAACATTTACCTCATTGCAAACCCTCCAAAACAAACAATGCTTACACGACACTCTAAATGCTAATGTGCGAAACGATGAACATTAACAGATTTAAAGAACCAAAATTTGCAATAACAAGAAAAACAATCAACACTTTTAGTTAATTAAGAATTAGATAATACAACGATAAGAAAGTTCAGCTAAAACAAAACAGCGGAGAAGTCAGATCCAGAACAGTTTTTTCCCATTTTATAAGTTTTAACGCTGCCTATCAGGACATGAATAATGGACAAAAGATGAACAACTTCATGATAACAGTCATTAAAGTTGTAAAAGATGCTGGGGACCAGAGGAAGGGGGGCCGGGGGAGTGGAAAAAACCGAAGAGAAATTATGTAAACGTTTGCTGCAGTTTAAAATCGGTGGGGGAAAAAGAACAATTCCAAACGTCTTATAGGAATAAAAATATTCTCGTTTTCAAAGAACATTACTGATACAGCAGTAAGCTAGAAAAACAGCAGACAAAACCACTCTGAAAAAATTGGTTTATTTTTCAAAAATTCTTTTTGAAATCAGCCAACAAATAACAAATCGTTCATAAAAAAATTTTTTAAAAGCAAAAAAAAAAGCACTAACTGTAAAAAAAATACAAGGAAAACCAAATTAGCCGATCAATATGCTAATACAGTGGTTTACAATCTAACAGCTAACTTGAATATAGGAAAAGAAAGGAAAACTAAAAACAAAAATAAAAGTTCAATTAACAAAACTCAAAAAATAAAGATAAAATTTGAAAGAAAGAATAAGGAAAAATTGCAACGTACACGGGAGTACAGCCGCCTGGTATTTGAGGAGAGTTGAAATGAATCACCGGGGCTTGTCTGGTCGCCGCTTTGTCCTTCGACGACACCCGCCTGCCTGCCCGGTTCGCCACCCGTAACTGTATGCTTATCCTTTACATAGACTGTTTCCTTCTCTACGTGCTAACAGCGTTTTCAGCACTTAGTTGGTTAGAGAACAGCAAGCAGTTAGTCATCCAGTCAGTCAGTCAGCCAGTTGGTTGAAACTTTGTGATGACGATAGGTGTGCGTGGACAGCCATGGCCAAACCAGGGAATTTACCTGCTCACCTACTTGCAGGCCATAGGTGACACGGACGATGGCTGTTGGTTGCAAAAAAAAA